ACGGTAATGCTTTCTTTGTTAAACGGCTAGAGACCTGTGGTGAGTGGTTAGCCAGGGGGTGGGCGTGCCGCGGCGTTAGCGGCATGGGCGCCATGCTAGATCGCTGGGGCATAACCTTTGCTGCGAATTACGCATCGGTCCGCACTCTTAGAGGATCCACCTCCCTATCGTCTTGGTATATTTTCCTCTCAACCCAACCATATCGTGGAACCTCCTTTAACGGTTCCGATCGTTATTATTCGTATTATTACCAGATTAGTCCCCCGTCAACCGCCGGGACCTTCCTTTCCTGCGCAAGCTTTCTATCCTCCGCTATGGTCCCTTCCTCCTGTGACACCAACACCTCCTGGAAGTGACGCGTATGCAACAATGGTGTTTCATACAGTAGAAGGGACACAATCATGATATGACGGTAGATTTTTCGCTTCCCTTCCTCATCCTCCCTTCCTCTCTCCACTGCCCTCCAGCTGCCACTGCAGCACCATGTGGAATGAACGGAAGTGTGCTAAGCAGGTGTTTATATAGCCCTAAGAGTGTTATCACAACTATCCTGCTACAAAACATTGATATCTCAAATCCTGTAAGCTACCCGATTTGTTAGCGGTTTGTTTATCCCATGAGCTTCCTTCTCACTCACTTCATTTTGCGGACGGACACACATACATACACACACACCACACACACACATACAGATACACAAACCGACACACAAAGTTAGCGCTTTATAAAATAGAAGGATTAATACTTAAGCATAATTGAGGTATGCAAACTTCTTGTAGAACCTCGCTGCAGCTCCCTCCGGATAAACGCGAGGTCTGAGTTCGAGCCCGGCTGAAGCTGCTCTGCCCATAACTCAGCATCCTAATAAAAAAAAAGATTTGTCAAACTCCTCCCAGCGATCGAATAAAAACGAAGTTAGGAAGAGGTCATGAAAACGGCTTGATAACGGACTATACAGTAGCGGTCAAAAGTTTGGAAACTTTTTTATTTTTGATCTAGCGTAGCCAATAGACAATGAAATTGCCCCGAATTCACATATTATATTCAGAATCTAGTGTAGATTACGATGGGTAACATGATTTTTGAAAACTGAAATCGCATTTGAAAAATACGAATTTTTATAAGAAATGGCGCGTCAAAAGTTTGGAAACTTCCGAATTCTAAAGCGAATTCGGCAAAATAGCTCTCAAATCCACATGATAAATTAGTTATTTGATGAGTAGCTTTGAATTTCTATCTTAGCGTCGTTTTTATTGACATGGTATTGATTATAAAATAATTTTAGGATTTTTAAGTCGGACCTCATACACTGTGAACTAAAGCACATTGTTTGGTGGGATTCTTAACTGGAACGTGGGTAGAGCGACATGCCACTTTTTCCGTGAGATGTAGAACTCAATTAGACTTCAGATCTTGACTTGGTCGCTTCATAGCAGCTCCTTTTTCTGGGTTGAGGAAGGCGGCAGTGGGGAGGTAGGCCTGCATCGGGTTATTTCCGTAATAGAAAACCCATCTTTTCCGGCTAGTTCTGACTATCTAAGGTAAGCATTGTATTCTACAGACTATACTTGTACTTAGCCCAACCCACATTTCGCTGGATACCTAGAACTGTGGAATCGCCGAATGGTCGGACACATGTTCATCCATGACAGTACTTCCACTATTTCTGACTGTTGGAATCTCATACTCAAAATGAGGTTCCCATTTGACAAAACACTTCACAGGGTCCACTATATTATTTCTAGGAAGATAGAAATCTCATTCGTCGCTGAGGACAAAGTTTCACCTCTTGGCTCCGGTTCATGTTAGCCGTTAGAGTGCGGAAGCCAGTTGGGCCATCCTGCCCTTGAAGCCCAACAACGGCTTCTTGTTGGGACATCATCCGTAATATTCACCAGGTCGCGGCCGATGTTGGCGTGCACTTGGACTTTCATATGATTAAAAAAAACCAGAAAAAGTTGTCTCTTAGTTGGGAATGTTGGGGGCACGGGACGTGCCAACCACCTTTCGAAGTATTTGAAGAGGACCAATTTTCTTGTGAAGATACTTTTTTGTGAATGATCATTCTTCTTATGCTTACTCGACTCCAATAACGCTAGAAACATTCGATAATATTGCTTCCGTAGAGACTGAACTACTAAGAAACATTTCAATTTCGTATTCCGGATTGTAGGGTTTAAAAAAGGACCCCATGGAAAAACTGCTTCCTTTGCATATGAATTCATTTTGAAATTACACATTACTCAATGGTTGAACTAAAATTAACAGAAACAAGTAAACATTGAAGAGTAGGAATCATAATGATAAGGGAAACAAAAAGTTTCCAAACTTTTGACGCGCCATTACTTGAAAAAATCTTATTTCTCAAATATGATTATAGATTTTTGGAAATTGTTCTTCCCGTCGTATTCTGAACTTGATTTTGTATGGAATATCTAAATTTGGGACAATTTCGTTGTGTATCGGCCGCGCTAGATCAAAAATAAAAAAGTTTCCAAACTTTTGACCGCTACTGTATCTGCAAATTTGTCCCTTGAAAGGAGGGGGAGAGGATGTGGGCATTGGGCAGTGGGAGGAGGCGTCGAAATCACAGGGCAGCTGATTGCCAAATGCGAGGATCAGGTATCCTGCAGAGCAACCAAACTTCCTAAGTCTCTGAGTCATTTCTTGTAGCAGTCTAGCCCAGAAGCGAGGCTATTCGGATCTTGGCTGCTCTCATAACGTATTTTGAAGGCCAGATACGCCTCAATTGCTCCTAATATTCTCTAGTTGACTCAGGGTGCAAAATCTCGAAGCGATTGACTAGTCATCTTTTTCATCATCGTGAACCCCTCTCGATCACTTCGGTCGTCATTAACCACTCGTCTTTCATAATAAATTTCACGTCAGAAAGCGACTAATAACTCATGGGTTATTGAGAAAATTACTCAGCCATCTCCTTGGAAATGCCGGGAATTAGTGGATTCATTTCTGAGCGCCCTCGGGCGCAATTCATAAATCTTCCAACGTTGGCACAAATTCGCGTATTCTATGAATTCTACACTGAACTCATCTCAGCACGGTGAGCCATGAGGGCACTTCCGACAAATACGACTCCCAACTCTGATTGTTAATGGCGTCGACAGTCGTTGAATCTGGTACCACGTGACACACTCTGCACACTAAGGCGTCAAGAATTTTCGAGAGTTGAAGGGAGTGGGGGGAGGGGGTCGTCACTACCAACAATTTTTTGGTGTATTCTCCACAATTCACTGCTCCTCCCCTCTCCCACCTACCGAAATCCCAAACATGTCCTTACTGCCCCCTCCATGACCACTAAGACGACCACAGATCCAGAGATCCCAGATGTAGCTCACCCTAGTTTAAATTTAACTTAAAATTGTGACTGGTACTAAGGATCGCTTCTCGGTAGCTCACTAAGAAGCAGAAAGAAAGTTTTGCTTCCCCCTTTGATGAGCATCAGTTTTCGTAGGGTGGTGAGATTGTTTTGAGCGACACACTACGAAACCTGATAGATGAGCCGAAATCAACGGCCAATGAGCCAAACACGGCCATTGATGGGCGACTCGGATGTCATCCACAGATATTGAATGTGACTAAAGCATTATGGCATCGCTCCGCTGGGAATTAAGCCGTCGCCGACGGAAGATGAAAGGGGAACAATTTGCCTATGAAGACCGTCGAAGAAATTCTTGCCTGTTCTTGCCATTATTTGCTAGCCAACTCTACGCTATTGGTGGTTTTCGGGGAACAAAAACGTAACAGTTGTCGCGACTCGCAAGCTTTTTCCTCAGGCAATTTCCTGGACGGGGGCGGAAGTGGTGTAGTGGCAAATGGCACGCTTACCACGCGAGCGGTCCGGATCAAATCCTGAGCATTGTCCCGATCCAACAGCCTACTCTTAATGAAGTTTATTCAGCTTAATATTCTTTTACACCCTGATTGCTATTAAAAGACATGCCAAAACGCTACCTTATTTAACGTATAAGTGAGTATAATCATTTGTTGTCGGAGCCACAGCCAAAAATGGTTACAAGGCTTCTGTCAACCAGGGTGAGAGTGTAGAAGGAAAAGCAGACGTTCTTTGTGGTAGTGGGACTAAGCCTTTGAAAGGAGGTAAAGAAAGCGGAGATTCTGTAATAGTGCGCTTGTGTGAGAGCTCCCAGACAGCAGCAACAAAACGCTGAATTGCCTAGCTCAGCTGCGAAGTCCGGAAGCAAAATAATTAGTCATTTGTCTACAAATATAGGTAAAAGTAGCGCGAGTGAAGGAAAAAGCCAAATAAACCACCCCCCAAAACACAGAAGTTGAGAACGAATTTGAGTGGCTTTGAACCAAAAATGTACTGGAGATTCATAAAAGGTCCAAGGAATGGACCCCTCTAAAGCGTGAATTCTCAATCTACATTGCAATTCACGTCATGTAGTATTGAACTTTAGCAGCGTTTTCAAGAGTATACATTTCCGCAAGTAGACAAGATTTATGTACAAATTTTATAAGTACAGTATTTACATTAAAAACAGCCAATGACATAACGGTAACAATGTTCTGAATATGTGCCAGTTCATGCTGAAAGCGGGCTTTTCCATAATCGAAGCTCGATCTCTTCAATTATGCCATGATACTATGTCACAATAATAACATAAGACGACTACAGTAATTGAACTGATTAAATTATCTCATAAGCTTATGGTAACTGTTTATTTGACTTGTGTTCAAGTGTTCACACGAAGACTAGCAAGACACTGTTGGCAGGTTAGTAACTAAAGTCATTTCCTACGAACGTTTCGTGATTGCATTAGGACACGATTGCCAGAATCACACACAGAGTAAACAAACTTCACACCCTGCGCCCTATTTGTAAGTACGCCGTCTATGCTTATAACTCATATGCACCCGTTAGCTGTTCAGTCATCAATTAACAATCACTATTTAATTGCAATAGAGCGCATAAATAACAGATCTCTTTCTAAGTACTATAGACCGACCCATTTAATGTGTTACACTTCAATGCCTGAGAAAGTGACGTTCGTCTCTTCGTGGTCTTTTCCTCTTTCTTCATCTCCGAGTTCTGGCCGGCACAAGGCCACATCAATATCAATCATATCTTCAGGTATTGGCATGAACTGAACCGACGGTGCTCCTCGAACTTGCCGCAAATTCTCAGTAATTTCTTGCCTAATTGCGGCGAGGAACTGAAACCAGCTGTTGAGTGGCATCAACTGTATTGAATGAAAATGTAAAATATTACCTCCTTTGTGTTGTGGTTATCAGCACGTTTTGGAAGCTCAGGACGGAGTGTAAATTCTGGTTCGAAGAATGGAAGGTACTCTAGAAATTCGTTTATTCATCACAGAACCACTCAGAAATGAAAAGTTTTTAAACAGCAAATTTGTAAACTTAGACTCCTAACGTTCCTTGAAACTCTTTTGCTTTCTGGTGACAAAAATGAAATGTGATAGATAAATCTATTGGTTTGGGTAATGGTTATGTAGCCGAGCCTATGGGGATATGAAATGGCGCAAAATTTACCCACCAGCATTCTCAGGAATTTCATTGGTCATTTCAACGTCAAGCAGAACACCAGTTTCATTTGCCCAACATCTAGCCACATTCCTCAAGGTGTAGCCTCCTCCGCCCAAGACAAGCATCGGAATTCCAAGACTTTTCACGTACCGTACACACTCGGCGTGGCCATCAAATCTGGAAATAAAATTAAAAAAAAGAGTTCAGGCCATGCACACGTAACGAGCCGAATCCTTAGTTCGCAGTACTTTCGAAGATAAAGAAACCAACGAAAGATTGAAGCAACCAAGTCGATCGCAACCGAGCGAATCTGCACCACATTGTAGCACGACAGCTTCAGGAGCGAAATTCTCCACGACTTGTCCAATTATTGGCCGAAATACGGATAAGTAGTCTAGAATTTAAAAAGTAGCGACACTTCTAGCAATTTAAGAAGATGCATACCATACCATCATCTTCAATTCCTTGCTGCAAAGGAACATTTACAGCGAAATACCGACCCGTTCCTTGTCCGAGATCGTATATACTACCTGTTCCTGGGAAGAACAAGCTACCATACTTGTGGAATGACACAGTCATAACCTAAAAAAAAGAACTGTTGCTACCGTGGAATTAACCACAGAGTAAAAACAAGCAAAAAATTTCCATCTTAATATATACCCTCACATGCTAGAAAACAGGACATGCCCCAATTAAACACACAACACTAAGGGGCAGTTCATAGCTTTTTTTCTGATCTCCGAGTGCGTGAATTTATTTATCCTCATGAATTTTCTTCCCTTACTGTGCTTTTGTCTGCAGTGCGCTTTTAAATCATATCGACATTATGACCAGTACCACTTTCTGTCCATTTCATAAGATTTGCAAACCATTCGTGCAGATAAGATCTACGGTCACAGAGTGCCCCTCAAAATTGTCAAACATGTGCAATTTTAGATGAATTTCAAGTCTATCCCAGGTGAAGGGTATTCATTTCCCAGCAATATTTCAATAATATCACGTCCAAACAGGATTATTATGGATGTGAAAAGTGAAATACTAAAAAACAACACTAGAAAAAGGCTTAGAAAACTAACACGGTCAGTAAAATTGAACGCTTCTTGAACTCCATCTCCATGATGAATATCGATATCTATGTACAGAACCCTAGAAAAATGATCAATATCACTATCAAAAAGAGCGGTTGTGAAAACCTCACGTGAAAACTCACCGTTTATGGTATTTTAAAAGTTCTAGTATAGCGATAACTATATCATTCACATAACAAAATCCACTGGCTTCTGCCTAAAGTAAAGGGGTAAAAAAAAGAGAATAAGGCAAAGTAAAGGACCACAACAAACGGATATTGGGAATTTCCTGGCCTTTTTTGCATGATGTAATCCGCCACTCCAATTAATCACTATATCGGATACTTTGTGATTGAGACGCTGGGCGCCCTCTAACGATCCTCCAGTGTAAATGGAACAGAACTCAAAAATGCCGTCGAATATGGGGCTGTAAGCGGAAAATATTAATGACCTCTTCACTTGGGACGTTACAAAATCCGACAGACAGCACATATTAACCCAGAAAAGCACAGTGTTAGTTTTCGAACCGAAATTGGGGTACGAAAGTTGTGATGTGGAGCTACAGCTTTCACGAGAAGTAGGAAATTCACATGCTGCCAATTAACACTATAAGCAGAACCTCTAGACTTGTTACCGTGTTAACAATAGTAAGCAGCAAACAGACAGCCAAAACCGAAATTAAGAAGTTACCAGTCTTCTCCTATATTGAATTTTGCGAAAACGTGTTCGTATTCCTCAGCACAATGCGGTGAGATCCGTTCGAGGAAATCGACATATTCCTTCGAGTGAAACCGCCTTAACATGGAGACAGTGGAGGGGCAACTACAATAAATCCTTCCTAGAATTCAACGAGAATCCACTAACCTTATATCGATGGCGCTCGCTCTCGGAGTCAACCGCATCTCCATTTTCTTGTCAAGTTCATAGTGCACTACAAGATTATTCAAAGCAGCTAGGCGCTGTGGTTTCATGGGATGGCGTGGACCTGCATTAGAACAATGGAAAGCCATAGTATAAAGCAAAGCACGTCACATGAAACTTACCATAATGGAAATTTCCAACTTCTGGATGATAGTAGTAGACCACGCTCTTTTCTTTTGACATATGATTGAAATATCTATATGAATGCTTTGAGACAACAATCATTTTCCACAACTGTCCCGCACTCGAACAAGTATGATTCTCAGTGATTAGTCACTATTTTCATGTAAGCAGACAGGTTCAAATAAGAAAGAAAATTTATTGTCGCGACTTAAGTACACAACAAAAAGGTCCCACAATGACAAATGTAAATTGGCATGGTCCCTAAACACGTTGCAGAATAAATAGTAATCCAGTTTGCGACTGAGCAGATGCGACTTCTTTTCGTATTCATGAATTTACAAACCATGATCCCTATGATGTCAACGTAATATAGGTACAAAAAAAAACACTCGCTCCTCTCCCATATATGAAATGAAAAGACGAAAATAAGTCGCTCCTGTGAGTCGCCGCTTATTTGGCAACAACATCGGTTCGGGTACACTAAACCACTGTGAACAAAGCTATAACTGCGCAATGGAGTGGTTTGGCTAATATGAGATGATGAATAGAAAGATCGACAACGAATACGAGAACGAGGACAGGAACAAAAAACACTGACTCGCTATGGAATTGAATGGATCAAACGGACCGTTGCAGCTTGAAATTTACCCGTAAATGGCTAGGCGCCATTAAATCTGCTCGGTTAAGAAGAAAATTATTATGTTAAAACAGTATTAGGGGGATAATAAGTAGCGAATAACATCCTAACTCGTAAAAGAAGTGAGTAACAAGGATAAGACGGCCTCAGCGAGACTATTATTCACAGATAACAAGCATTCTACGCTCGAACGAGACTTTCAAGAGTGAAATTCACGATGTGGAACTGTTTTCAACATACAACGAATTACTCTTAGCATCGAGAAACTCGTCACTTCTTTTTTTTGTTTCATTTTTACGCTAAAATCTTCTCTTCGGATTTGTAGTATGCATTTGAATTAGGCTAGAAACAAAAAGTAGTTGTACTCGAGATTCGGGTGAAAACTAAGATAATATGTCAAAAATTATGTGACCCAAAAAGGGACCCATTCCAGGATCCTAGGATGGAGGATTTAGCGGGAAAGCACAAAGATCATGTGAGACTACATGCCTACTTCTCCAATGATTACGAAAAAAAACCTTTGTAAAAAAGAGAAGTGTTGTAATTAATTACAAAAATGTGTAAAAAGCGTGGACGGAGAAATGATCAGTAGACGAGGAAGTTCGAAAACAGTGGTTTAAAATAGGCTCAAAAATAAGCTGAGAAAAGGGATCTGGAAGGAGAACGTGAAGTGAATGGAAAGCATTCAGAAAAAATTGCAAAAGGGCAGAAGCCTTGTTTAATCTGTGATTAATAGACCGCATTCAGCTCATCGGATGTGCAACATTAATACGCCAGTACACCGTAATACAAAGTCATTAAAAGAAAATAAATATTAATGAATGCTCAGGTCGAATGTTACAAAACATTAAAACCACTTAAAGATACCTAAAACGTTCCCATCTTCGTGATATTAACTCGGATTGTAGATCAGATTGAAAGCTATCTTTAAAAGCTCGAAAAATTAAAAAGTTGACGTCGTTGAAAACGGTAAGGTTTGAATCATTGACGGTCTACGAACACGCTTGTGAACTGGCCTGAGGTGTGGGAACAGAGTCCTGATCATGAAGCTCAGATAACAACTGCGCTAGAGCATGACTGCTTTCTAACCGTGACAGAGCCAGCCAGCAAAGATGACGTTCATGACGCCGCAATAAACTGAAATGTACTCGAATTAAGCCCGCCACAAACAAACAATATTGGAGATAACGTACTGTCTCCCAGTGGCAGAATATCGTGCCAAATTTCTGAGAATCAAACAGCTTGTTAAACGTATGCTCTTCGTGACAGGACCTTCTGGCTCATCCTAAACATGGAACATCAACGAAAAACTCGCAAACGTGGCAAATCACAATGCACTAACCGTTATGTCTCTAGGAAGAAAATTGAAAGCATGCCGCCTAATCGCTTCTATGGCAGCATGTTTGCTATAACCAGGATGGTGAGGCACTTCACGTGGTAGTTCTTGCCTGTATCGATGAGGTTGCGCTGGAGCTAGCCCATCTCTGAGAAACAACGATAGATTATAACACTCAAACACAATGAAAAAGCAGCATAAACGGCATCGAAACTCACTTTCTCCTCTGCAAGGCCATTTTCAGAGCTGTTTCGTTTGCATGATGATCTTGCACGTGAGTTACCAATGACCACCTGATTGAAAAACAGAAATCAAACCTCAAGGAGTGTGGCAATTTGTCCATAGATCAATGCAGCAACAAATTATCGAAGCGAGAGACAGAACCCTCAACGTACCTGCTTCTTAACGTGCCGTCACATCCTGGCCACTGACACGCCTGCTCGCAATCATCTATGATGTGCCGTCGGGCAACATGCGAAAGGACTGCAGATGCGGTTGCGAACAATGCAGCGCAGCCATCCCATTCGCACATATACTCCGCCAATGGATCTATCTGTAAGGGTATTACTTATCTTCAATAAATGAAGTCTGGAAAAAAGTAGAGAAAAAAACGGTTTCAACTCTCCATAACAGAACATTTCTTCACAAGTGTAACATTCTTACCAAGCTCTTGAGAACAGACTGCGTAGTCTTCATTTCGGATTCCTTACGGCGAGAAGCCTTCTCGTCATCGCTTGGCTCATCGTCAGACGCTGCAATTCCATTTTCAGCCTTAACATTTTGTCCATTCGTCTTGGTCTCTGGTTCTTGTGAGGGCTTGGCGTCGGCATGTTTTGTTGGGCTTTCCTCTTTTCGCTAAAAGATATTTTCAGGCAATATCTGGAGAAATAAAATCCATGCAACTAACCTCGGTATTGACGTCAACCGCTGGTGACGCGCTCCTTGACGATGGATTGCTCCTGAAATAACACGACAATGAGTTACTTGACTAATACCCTTCCCTTCAATACTTACGTGGCTACACCATTAATGCCATTGACAATAGGTAAGGAGGCTTGGGCGTTTTTCGTCAAGATCTGTTTCATCAGAGGATGAGCAGCAATGGTGGCAGAATGTGGTGGTGGTTGAGGTGCTGGAGTGACAGGAGTCATAGCGGGAGGAGTGGGATTAGTAGGAATGGATGCTCCACTATTCACCACTTGAGCGGAAGCTGCAGGAGCCAATCCTGGAAAAAAGCCTACTCCAATAGTGAAAAGCATGAGCGGCAGTTTAGTGACAACTCACTATGTGGCTTGACTAATCGTATGCCTTGCGCTACCATCATCAACCCGTTGTCTGCCATTTTGAATACAAGCTCGGGAAAAATAGACCTAAACGAATACATCAATCAATGCAAACATTCAAATCGATGTGAAACATCCTTACTTCATAACATTGCTAAACATTGCCAAGCTACCACTGAGAGAGTGGTACTGATTTCGCAAATCATCGACGTATGCCGCATAGAGTTCCCCTCGCGGGGTGACTGCATTGCGATCTAAAATGCAGTTCTGCCGGATCCACTGTTCAGTGAGCTGGTCTACCTGGAAGAAAGAGCATTACATGCTTAGCTTGAAAATCACAAAAAAGATCCATTTCATTCTGCAACTCGAGAAGCCCAAAAATAGGTTATTGCAAGGACGCTTTATAGGCAACCCCTTCGCTCAGACAGGAGTAGAAGCAGAAAATTAGTTGAAGAGAGGGTAGCATGTTTGATTCCAGTCTAGTGTCAAGGTCTCCTCGATCATAGTCGGCGATTCACCATCCCAACTCACGCTTGTGAATTGCCGATCCGCTCGACCAATACTGCTACTTTCGCTCTGATGAAGTCCCGTATTTAGCGACAGTGCGCGACAATGGGTTTTTATGCGCTCTATTATATATTCGATTGAGAACTACTTCCTGATGAAATTCCTGCCGCCGTGTCGACGGTCAACCGGGAAGTCGAAGTACATTCGATCAAAAAAGAAAGCTGGATTAGAACAAAAACATAGAAAGTTAAAACCATTGGAGGGGAAATCAAAATAACTTAGAGCGCATAAGGGCCTAATTCGCGTACTGTCGTATGCTGTAGCTGAGGGTCTCGCCAGAGAGCAACACCTGATAAAAAATTTCATTGAGAATACTATTGCCCTATGTCGAGGATTAATTGGTGCTTATGGCGATTAGTAACAGTATTGTTGGTTTTGATCACGCCTGTGGATCGGCAATGTTACCATGTGTTTCGCACATAACTCAGAAAGAAAAAGAGAAAGAAAACTGATGAAAAACTCTCAAACACTTACTTTGTTTTCGCCACCACCGCTAGAAGGCATTGCAGGAGTTCCTGTTTGGGGAGCAGGAGTAAAATGAGTACGTGGTGTACTGGAAGTAACAACGTGGTGGTGAGGAGTTTGCTGTATGTGGGCTGGCATATGCTGATTGTGTTGTTGTTGATGCTGTTGTTGCACAATATGACGCATTTGCTGAGGTGGTCCAGCAATTTGAGTTCCACCGGAGTACAGTACCCTTGGCTTGAAAAACATGCGATGAGTTTGACCGTTCACCTCACTCATAAAGAAATGATCAAGTCTGCAAACCTGTTGATGATGCGCTTGAGGTGTTTGATGTTGTGAGACGTATTGACCATGGTGCTGCTGCTGCATCATTGGCTGCACCTGAAACCCCATTCGCTTTGCAGGCAAATTATGACGCTTTTCCCCACATTAAATAGCCGAAAAGAGAACGAACGAGATGTGTGGGCTGATATTCCACCACTTTCATGCCAGCTAATCCTGCTGGTCCAAAACTAACTGCTTCAAGAGTGGCCATCGATACAAGTTGCGTAATAGCACGTGGCATTTCGGCCAGCAACTGACACGCTACATCTCCCATCTCGGAAATCTAAACTATTGATTTGAATTCACCATAAACCTATTACATAACACTTAACAAAACATATATCCAATTTCCCAAGACACTTTCGTTCACAAATATGCAAGTTACGTTAGATGCGATTGAAAAATATAGGCCAGAGGAAGACTCAGGCGTATGTGGTGTGGTAGCAAGTAAAGCCGCCTGTCAGGTACATTCTTAATGATCGATTCCCATCCTGAACCTTGCCGAGGTCAATCTAGCCTTCTATTCCATTTGAGTCGGTTAACTGACACCACTCTTTCCCAAGAATATAGAAACATAGACTGTACATCAGCCGACCCTCAAAGTTAGTGTTTAGACCTGATCGCGTTCAGCTGTGACACTGCTACATGCCACCACGATTATGAAAGGAAGCAGAACGCATGGCGCAATCCGGAAAGGGGTGACCAATGCCGAATGGTTTATTGGTTTTTACTTATGAGTTCTTTTCATTTGGCTTTGAAAAGGCTGTCCAGAGAAACTGTTCGACATAAGTAAGAACCCTCAAGTGCAATTTGTATTCCGCAAGGAGCTGTCTGTGAAGTAAATGACGATGAAATGGGAGTAATACTGACAGAGGTATTAAGACGGCTTATGAGACTTTGTTGCTGGGCGACAATAAGCCGATAGAATAAAGAACTTCTTGAGGAAAAGCGAAGTCAATCAGAAAAGTCTCATTAAATCTTGCCTGATAGAGGCACTCCAAAGTGTAGACACACATCATTATGTCCTTTATACAGACAACATTGAAGATGTGTTCGAACATTTTGCTATCCAAAAAATCGCATATGGTCGACTCATTTCCCTCAAAACTGCTGAGTGCAGTAAGTATCTCCATAGAACGTATGAGCTAAAAAAAGTCATTCACTAGTGGATATGAGACTCGAAAATAAATACACCTCAATGTTAAAAACAACCTACCTTGAACTTGTCGTTGCTGAAGATGCCTTCTTTCACGATTCTTAATAAGGCATGGTCGGAGCAATGCACCATTTTGTGCCAAGTTAGGTCAATCTGTAAGGAAATTAAAATTAATCAAAGCCTTGTAAGAGATCTAGAGAAGCACTTCAAGAATGAAAAGGAAAGAAATTACATCACAGGCCAGGTTGCTCAGGGTATCCATGGCCGCGGTATACAGTGGAGCCCACTTGCTATTGGCACAAAGAAAGAGGAACCTAAAACAATACCAAACTATTCGCAAAGCCTTCATTCTAAAGAGTAGGGGAAAAGGAAAGGGAAGCAATAAGATCAGAACGGAACAAACCTAAACAAAGGCCAACACTGAGCCATCGTCACTCTGTTAATAGGCTCGAATGACAAGTTTCTCACTATCGTCGAAACCTTGAATAAAAGGTGGAAAAATAATTTGAGTAAAAAAACCTATCCTAGCAAATTACAATACCTGATTAATTCTCCATGACATAGGATCTTTCACATCGAACTCCTTTACTAACCCAGTAAATATATCGCCATCGGAGTCCTTAAAGAAGAATACTCGCGTTTCAGTGATGCTCATCACAGTTGTTTAACAAATAGCGGAGGACAGAAGGTCCGCGAACGGCTCCTAGAGCATACAAAGTGCAAAGGAGATATTTGAACGCACCACTTTCTTTCCAACAACATGCGGTGCGAATTTCTCCAAGAGGTCTTCTGGAATTCCAGCCGATGCCCAGAAAGTAGTGAAATCGCGTCCGCCATTACTATGCCAAACGGTTGCAAGATCCGAGATATCTTGATCTTCTAAAGATTCACAATCAAAACACACACAATCGCGAATGCAGTGAGTAAACATACCGTCATCAAATATTCCACAATGAGCAACTAGCAAAGTAATTATATTAGGTGCATGGCTCAATCGGAGAAGCCGCGGCCCAGGATGTGATAGAAGGGTGCAGACATTCATGGCAAAATCAACCTACAATACTCAGGCAATTTAGTCTGAGAAAGAAGTTTTATGAAAAGGAGAAAGTGCTAAGGGCATTCAAACACACCTCATTAGGCAATCCACTTAGAAGCGACTTCGTTAACTTTGCATAGTCCGGCTCTGTTGATGGGTTTCCGCGCTCATCACGTCGAATGTACTCTAACGATTAAGAAATGATGAAATGAAAAAAATGAAACATGATGAAAGATGTTGAACCAAATTAGATCATCCTCCCCAACGGTCATTAAATCAGATCATGAAAACAAACCATGATTTCTTCCCATGCCAACGGGACAATCGTTAGTAGCGAAAAATGAACTCTGTCTGCCACGGGATCGCGACATTTCTCCATCCAGCATGTCGTCTAGGTCACCGATGGTTTCAATTTGCTCGTACTTAGAGAGGTACCTGTACGGAATTGACGATAAAATAACTAAAAGTTACTAATGCATAATTGTAAGAAGGTTCTTGGAATGCACAAATAAGTAAATAAATGAATAAATGTAATATCGATAATGGAACACCTCATGTACAGCAATTTTATGGCATGATCTCCACCAACAACGTCCTCGCCAATGCCAAGCATTTCTGCGACATCAGACCACTTTTTCATGTGAGAGAGCCACCTG